GTAGCTTGGTGTTCTTGTGGGATACCTAACAGTGGGATGATAGCTGTCTCTGACTCTTTTGCCTGCCCTTGAGACCCTGTTCCTCCTACTGAGTTGCCTTGTCCAGCCTTGATGTGAGGGTATGTGCCTAGTCTTATTGTATCTTGTTATGCTGTGTTCAGGGTATCTCTGGGAGGTCTACTCTTTTCAGAAGGTAAACAGAGGAGGAGTTGATCTAGGGGAGAGGCGGGGTGGGGTGCTGTGCGAAGGGACTGAGAGTGGAGGAGGGAGGAGAACCTGGTCAGGATGTAATAGATGAGAAAAGAATAAATAAATTAGTTAATTTTTAAAAAAACAAAGGCAAGATGGGAAATATGACAAGACTTAAAAATTATATGTAGGTATCAAGAATTGAGACCTCTATACTTTTGAAAGAGCAGACCTGATACATCTATATTAATTTATCAATTCCAATTTCAGTGGTTTTTATGAATTTTTTATATTAGCAATATTGCTTAAAAGATGAAAATGTAACATTATTGTAGTTCATACAACAATGTAATTGCTTATCTGTCAGCAGCTCTATAGAAAGGCATTCTGGAAGCTGTGACCACAGTTGTTTTATTACAGGTGGTCTGTTATCTTCATGTCACTTTCATAAGAAGTGTGGTCATTGAGGCAGCTGTAATACCTTGTCTTATTAATGGAAATCAGAAATTAGTCTTTCAGCTTCATTATATAGTTTTCTTGATATATTTTGACATTTAAGAAGGAGATGTGAAGTCATCTTTCTTATCAGATGCTCATTTTTTTGTATAAATAAAATGCTACTTCTATAATAGAAGGATAGCACAGTAATTAAGAGCATGAGGTGCCTTTTTAAAGAGACCACATTCTTTTTGCACATTTTGGGGAGGGGCATTAGAAAGCTAGCTGAAGGCCTTAGCCCTGACTGACTTTGTGCCTCACCTATAGTGTCTTTTCATGAATCCCTTTCCTCACCCTAGGTCTCCTCTACCCATCAGAAAATTTTGGGTTTTGGTTTTTGGTTTTTGGTTTTTGGTTTTAAGACAAGGTTTCTCTGTGTAGCCCTGGTTTCCTGGAACTTGCTTTGTAGAGCATGCTGACCTAAAATCCACAGAGATTTGCCTGCCTCTGAGGCCTCCTGAGTGTTGGGGTTAAAGGCATATTCTGTGTACTAAATTTGAGGAGGTCTGTGTGCATGTACTTTTATAGATAACATAGTTTCAAGTAAATGTGTATGTCCAGTAATATGGATTTCCATTTGTTTCTCATGCTGGCTTATAATACTCTGTGGAAGTGGTTAGATCTGTTCCTTAAAATATTTTTATGTTTTTGAGTTTCAAATTGTATTTTGTTTGACATTAATTTCAATAATTCTGTTAATAATTTTCTAATTTATATATGTCCCTTGTTTTCTCTAATAAATTATAATTGGTCAGAAATATTAGCATGTATCATGGATCTTCTATGAAGTGAATTATTAGTGATAAGAGACAATTTAAAATACAAATATTCTGAAATTCACATGTTCTGATATTGGGTTTTGATAGTTATTTTTTATATATTGAACTTGTAAAAATGAGTACAATTTTGAGTATTTCAGTTTTCCTCAAGGTAATTAGAGTTCTAGACAGAATATCCTAGAGGAAGCAAACCTTTATTTTAGACTTTCATACCCATGGTTGATTATTGATTTGCTTTTTATTAACACTTGGTTTTTACTGTGGAAATTCAAGCTGCATGAGAGCAGTTTTTTGTTTTTATTTTTTTTTAAACACTGAGAAATTCTTTGAGGATGTTAGTGTCTCCCTATTGTATCCAGCTTTAAAAGATTGGATATTTATTAAAAGGATTTGCCCCTAGTCAGATGTAGCTGATGACAGGAAACTAGGTAAACTGTTCATCTGATTAAATTTCCTAATGGTTCAGCTGAGGTGTCCTGGAAGGGGAATGGCATCTGCACAGAGCCATGACGGTTGCTGAGTAGTGATTACCTGCAGATGTTTTTACAAGCTTAATCTGGGCAATATGTGATATGTCACCTCTTAAGTATCTAATGTCAATTTTGGTTTTTAAAGCTAAAATTGAATTTAATAAAGAAGTTATATTCAGAATTAAAAATTTAATTTCTGTGTAAATAAATAGAAAATGTCATGGTTGACACTTGGTGCGTGTGAAACTGGGGACTGAACTGATGACCTGTGTATTTATGCACTGAGCTATTTCCCAGCCCTTATTCAGTGTCTTTATTTTGAGAGGGTCTTGCTAAGTTAACACTGTTGGCTTTGAACTCAAGGTAGTCCTGGTAAGCCTCAAACTTGCAATTCCCCTGCCTCAGTTCGAGAGTAGTTGGGATTATAGGTCTGTACCACCAATCCCAGCTAAATTTTCTTTTTTCTGTAAGTGAAATTCAAGTCTTTATTTGAGCCATAACAGTGGTGCGTAGTATAAAATGTACCAACATATGAAACAAAGATATTGACAAAAATTAAAATAGGATGATAATGTCGAATCTAATAGTTAGACTACATTTTTTCTTATACTTAGGTTTTAAATGATGGGAATGATTTTAGTGCTGGTACACAAGGCCAGGTGAAGTGCCCTGGACTGACTTTGCTGGGATATTCATCCTCCCAGGACACACTGACAAAAGGAAGGACTACTGAAAAGGTTCTTACAGAGAATACCCTTAATAACTTTAATTTGTTATTTTCTGAAGTGATTTTTCTCCCTTTAATTCAAATCTCAGCAAAAGTGACCCTGAAATGACATTTATTTTCAGATAGTGTTCTAGAATTTCATAGGATGGTTCAAGGATTTGTCTTTAATTAAAAGTGCTATACACTTAGTACGAATCCGTGTTTGTTGAGAAATTGATTCTTTTTGAAGGAAAGCTGCAAACTTTTCTTGTATGGGTAAATGTCACTCTATTCATATCTTCACTTAGCTGCAAGTCAGTATATGTTCTGTTCCACCAGGTTGTCATAGTAACACAGTTAACTGTCATCTCAACTCAGACTGTTGATGGTTTTATTTGTAGGTTTGTAGGATTATTAAAATTTAACAAAATTATTGATTTGCTTTTTATTAACACAGAGTTATTTACCATGAAAGTTCAAACTGCACTTTTTTTCTGTTTAATTTTTTTCTAAAATTAAAGTGAAACTAGATATTAAATCCTTGTGATTAAATTTTTTTATTTAAAATGTAATATAGAGTCTGCAATAGCAGAATAACCTCTGTGAATTGTAGTTTTGAGTCATTTCCTATTTTCTTTCTTTTGACAAGGAGGCAAAAAAAAAAAAAAGCCTTAAAATTCACCTTTAGCTTGCTCTTAAGTAAACATAAAGGATACCTGTCAGGAAAGCATGAAATGGTACATAAAGTGCCTAATACTGAGTTTTCATTTTATTTATGGTTTTTGAAACCTTGTGGGAATGCTTCACTGAACTGTGTTGTAAAAGTATTTATTTTGGTATATTTATGTGAGAGAGATTACTTAGTTTTCCCTTACAAATAAGGCAGGCAAACCTTATTTACAGTAAGCTTATCTAATGGTCCGTGGATGAGTGCTTTTATGCAAAATAGTTGGGAGGCTAGAATTAACTTTCACATTGAGTGCACATTTGATGTCCACTCTTGAGCAACATGTGGCATCTTATTCTAAGGGCTGCTTTTCAGGATTCAATTTGTATTTAACACATTTCCCTCGGCACACACAGCTCACCTGCATGACATCTACTGTTTCCTTTCCAGTGTTTCTTTCTTACTGGGAGATACGGAAGTGTTTATTGCTTTTGACCTCTTCCCTGTTTAGTTTGTAAAGACTTGGTTAATTAGCTGTGTCATATTCTACATCAACATAGTTCAGTCTGGGGTTGTTACACGTTTCAGTGGGGGTTGATTATTGGGAAGCGTTATTTCCTCTTCCTGTGGAATACTGTGTATTTTGTTGCTGTTAGTTCTCAGTCTCAGAAAGTTAACATTATGTGCACAGTCCCTGGTAGAATACTTGGTTGCTCAACAGCTGGTAGCTTATGTGCTCTTGAATTTAGGTACATTAAATGTTTCTTTTAAATGCTTTATTAATATTCTTATAGCTGTGTGATGCCCCTCCCCCACAGTCCTCACAGCTTGTCATTTATGTCCTATGTCCTCTCCTCCCACACTGAATCATGGCTGACTCATAGGGATCAGTAGACTGTTGTACCCATGGAGTGTGCAGTCTTGGAGGATAAGCCTAACAAAGCATAAGGCTTTATTTTGGTCTCTCTCAGATTCATTCACAGTGGGAGAAGCTGCATGCCTTTGAGATGCTCAGGCAGCCCAGGGAAAGCCTCATGAGTGAGGAAATGAATCTTCCCACCAAAGTCAACACTAACCTGCCAGCCATTGTGTGAGCTGCTGTGGGGGCTGATGTCTTCCTTTTAGAGTTTCATTTATGAGCATAATGAATTTTTATCATATCCCTCCTCTCTCCCCACTCCAACTCCTTTTCCCATTCCTCTCTTAAATTCATGTCCTCTTCATGTATATAACCAATTGAGTACAGTTAGTGTTGCCCATAGTACATGAATATTGGACTGACTTCTTGGGCATGAGCCATCACAGTTCTTGGTTTTCGAACTTTGTTTTAAACTTACAATATATGGCTTTTAAATTATAATAATATTATAGATATCCTAGATTTATTGATTTGTAATGGTCATCATGAGGATGGAAAATATCTTAGATACTGTACCACATAGTAAGGGTGAACATACAGTTATTACAATACAATAGTAAGTTCAAATATCCATGTTTTCAACTTTTTAATGTATTCCACCAGTGATGCTGTATACACAATTGGCAAAAAGAAACAGGAATCTTAACCTATATCTATTGTTGTAGTTTTTGACAGTAAGTTAAAGAGCTATCCCTTGTTACCCCTTAACTGCATTTTGAGTCATTTAGAACAAAGCCACAATGATTATCGTGTTTCTCTGCTTTTCATGCAGGAAGAGAGTGAAGAGGAACCCAAACTGAAGTATGAAAGGCTTTCCAATGGGGTGACAGAGATTCTTCAGAAGGATGCAGCAAGCTGTATGACGGTCCATGACAAGGTAATGAGCACTTTAAGAGGATTGCAGGTGCCCAACATCTGTGTCCTTGCTTTGGCAAAGGTCTCATTGACATGTTAGACCCCCGAAAACACAAGTATCCAGGGTCTCAGGCCAGGTTCGCGGTCACCCCAATCACCAGGCGGATTCGAGAGCTTGCTGCAAACTGCACGAGGCTTTATTGTAATTTAACAA